CACCCAGAATTGCGGGAAATAATGCGATCTAAGTAAAATTTTTTTTTTGTTGCACTACTTATGATCGCCAGTGTACATTTAGTTGTTTGCCTCTTTCGTAACAGCCTAATAAAACCTCTTTGTTAAGTCGAACATAGACGTCTCTATTACAGCCAAAATCTCAAGGGTTATAGTCTTCATACCATAACCGCAACGTTCCTTGAACTACTATAAAGAGGTGTAGTTCGAGTGTAACAACGGTATTATATAAACTTAACAATCGTTCAAATATAAAGAAATCCTTAATAAAAAGTTGACTATTTACAATTTGTTTTTTCTTTAATTAGACTTTGAAATTTTTATTCAATATGTACATAATGTATAAATAAATAACAAACCTATCCACCACTCTACTGCATTTTTTGTATTTATTATAGGCAATTATTCCAACAATGTTATATATTACAAAGTTTAATCAGTTATTGTGTGTTTTTTTTTATCGCAAACTGAACCAATTCATGAGAAGGAAACAAAACAATCACGAATAATTATTATATCAAATCTATCAAGGTTTTAACATTCTAAGTAAAGGATGTGCTTCAGTGTTAAATACATAAGTGTCCAATGACATAACATCAGGTGGACTGAATAGCAAATATAAATATTTCAATGTTTCTGCAAAAAAGAAACTACAAATTAAATTTTCATAGATGTTAAAATCTTAAAATATATAATTAAATCCTTATAGAATTGAAAAAAAAAATAACATGAAATAAATTACCTTTCCATAATATTATTCATTTCAGTTTTTTCTGTGTTGACATTTTCCAGTCCAGAATATGCTGTTGATGTTTTACACCATTTCTCAATGGCCTACGATAAACAGGAAATCAAAACGTAAACAAAAAAACCTAATATCGAACATTATCTAACGTTACCTGCCATATCTTCCATCCTCTTTCTTGATATTTTTTGTCACCTGTTATCCTATACAAAATGAATAAACTCTCAACAGTTTCTATTAGATCATTTTATAAAAGCCTATTAGCATGAGATAGAATTTTAAATAAACCGAGCACAATTCAACACGTTTGATACCTGGCCTCAATAAATAAGTCGGCGACATTCTAACCAATCCATTCGGAAGATTATCCGTCTCTTCTTGTTTTTTTAACCAATCAACTTCGTTTTGAGTTAATTCGTCAGCAGATGTAAGAAACCAAAATTCTTCTGGTCCAAGTCCAGTTACAGTCACATTATAAGACCAGTAGCAAGTTTCTGCTAATCCAATGGCAATTTCAAGATCCTTTGGTCGATCAAGAATTTTTGCACCAACCGCAAGCATGCCGGGAACAAAACACGCCTTATTTTATAATTATGAAATGATCAAAATTGTTATTTAAATTAAAAGGTATATACCATTTATCACTGCTTATAATACTTAATGTCTTATTCGAAACTTTCATTTTTTAAATTGTTTAGTAGAGTAACTATACTTTGATATAATTGATAGGTATAATGCTTTATGGAGATATCATAAGCAGTGCTAAACCAGTAACTAAGTAAATGTAACATAATAAAAAATACATTTAAATTACCAAATGACACATTTTCCCAGTAAACATATCATGAAATAATTCACCAAGAAATAATAAATCGGATCGATCTCTAACCCTACCTTCTTTGACAAGGTATTTACGCATGCTCTCGGCCGATTCAATATCTGAGTAATTTAATGATTTAGAAAATATTAAATGATACATTATTGAAAGATTTGTATTTTATGAATAAAATACATACACATTCTTCGGTATTGATCCAATGCACCTCCGGTAAAAACATATACTTTAATTAAGTACTGTTCATACAAATTAAATAAGATTGGTAAATAAGATAATCTCCTAACCGAACTAAAATAAATTAGAAAAAGATTACATGCATACATACTTCATAAAAACTGTCTCCTAAAGGACCAAAAGACACATGAGCTAATCGAGAAATATATATTAATGACAGATGAAACATTGATAACCTGAGATTAAATTTATAAAAGCGGTAAATTGTGAGTGCTTACATCCTATAAACTCAGCGGAGTCTATAAAGTTTATAAATAAGAATAAACAGCAAATTAAATGGATAATAAGATTCAAAATTTGGAAAATTATAATATTGAATGTTTCAAACCTTGATCAATCTCTAGGGGATATAATCCAGGAATATATTTTTCGGCATTATCAAGAATTTCAATCACATCTTGAACCTTTTAAACATTATAAAGTTGATATAATGATTCACAAGAAAATTCATATAACAAAAAATGTTTGAGAAAAATGAACAATTGCTAGG